TGTGGCGCGAAGCACATTTCGAAGTGAATATGTACAAAACACACCATTGTCGGACCACTTTTGCAAGTTGAGATGTCGCAAAAGTGCACGCCGTTGTGGCGCGAAAGCACATTTCCAAGTCAAAATGTACAAAACACACCATGTACGAACCATTTTTGGAGGTTCAGATGTCGTTTCGCGTGGCAGGCACAAGGGATTGTGCACCTTGTCAAAAGTGAGCAAAACATGAGGGTTTTGTCGCATTTCCAAAAACCATGGCAGGCGTGGGACATCTGAAGAGGATCTGCAAAGATTCATTTTCCGTGGCAGGCGCAGTACAAAAGACATGTGCATGAGAGAGGTTGGGAGGTCAGGGCGCTGATTTCCTGAGAGGGGTTGCGTTTTGGAGTATCAGAAGTGTAGGTTTGCTAAGATGATTTTGCGTGACAGGTGCAGCACTTCGTATGACCTGGCATCAATTTTCCGTGGCAGGCGCAGTACTTTAGATAGGTGGACTGGAAAAATCGCAAAACGCATTCGCACGAGGCTGTCAGCTCTGCACTCAACTTTCCATTTTTGAAGGAAGTCTCGCAGAATTCTTCGTTTTTGATGTCTTGCACTTCGAAAAAATGAGGAAGTCTCGCAGAATTGCTTCGTTTCGGATGTTGTCAAGTTCAAAAAATGAAGATGTCTCGCAGAATTGTTCCGTTTTGGACGTTCTTATGTTCAAACATTACGGAAGTCTCACAGAATTTCTTCGTTTTTGATCTTGCAGATAGATAGATAGATAGATAGATAGATAAATAGATAGATCGATAGATAGATAGATAGACAGATACATACATAGACACATAGACAGATAGTTAGATACCAAGATAGATAAATAGATAGATAGATACATACACAAATAGACAGACAGATAAACAGATAGACAAATAGATAGAGAGACAGTTTTATCGATAGATAGACGGAGAGATAGACAGATAGATAGATAGATAGATAGGTAGATAGATAGATAGATAGATAGATCGATAGATCGATCGATCCATCGATCGATAGATAGATAGGTAGGTAGGTAGATAGTCAGAGAAAGAGAGAGAAAGAGTGAGAGAGATCAATCACCTTTCGCTCCATCAGTGGCTTCGCTCTGTCATCTGTGACTCACAACAACCAAACTCTCCTATAGGTTTCCTATTTTTGAAACTTCCGCCACCGCCTTGTGCGGTACTACTGGTAACCATCTATAGAAGTATTGGGGTATCCAAGTTTGACTCAGACCCATATAAACTGTGTTCCATAGAGTCCTGATTTTTCGAGGAGCACCGTAGGCTGACTTTCCGCCAGCTTCCCTGGATTTCAACAAAGATGGTAGGGACTCCTCTGCCGAACAGAAGGCGCTGTGAAGCCACCAAAGAGACACTTGAGGTAACGAATGACAAGGTAGTTGTTTTTGCTCAAGAAAGAAAACTTAAGCATGTTGAGTAATCCTTTCCCCTAGCATGAAATGCCCACTCGAAAGTGTCTAGTCAGTCGGCAGATCACATTGTGTGTGTCGTCTATTTTGACATCTTTGGGTGCTTTGCTAGTGATAATCATGAATCCTTCCTAAGTTTAGTTGTTGTTTCCTTGATATTGAGGTCCCCCAAAAAATGGTGGGATTACGGGATTCGCTGAATCGTTGGAATCGTGATTGTCACTGGAAGAAAGAAACCCAGGTTGCGTGTTCGCCTTTTCCTGGCTATTGACAAAATTGGTGAATGATTGGTTCATGGATCAATACTAAGTTTTGTTTATACATTCACCAATCATTCACCAACCATTTGTGACGGATTGCCAATGGTCTTTTGCATCATATTTTTTCAGATCTTTCAGGGTGCCATTGGGCGTGCCATCCCTGCGATCCCTCTGGTATGATCTGATCCAACCAGGTCGGTGTGCAACAAACAAGAGGCGGTGGTGACCCTATACGACAAAGGCTCCATGGGGGAAGACGGCCCCATACGGCCTTGCTACGCTACGCTTTTGCTAAGGGGGTTGGAACCCCACATGTTGGAACTTTGGTTTGGGAGTGACTATAAGTTCTCCGAATCGGTCATTAGAGCTAGGACTTGGTCGAGGTGATTGCCTTCATCCTTGCGAAACTGTTATATAACGATTTTTTTTATATGATGTGAATTAATTATAAGTAATTTATGTATCGTTTGTTTCGGTGCTCATCAAGAAAATCCCTTCCTTTTTAGAGCGCCCTGGCACCCATCAGCCTCATGGCTCTCATGTGCTGGTGAAGTCTGATCGCCATAGGTCTGACATGTCGATGTGTCATTCGTCAGGGCTGTTTGTAGACAATGATAATATGTGTCAGGAAATCAGGTAAGCTGCTTGTAGATGACATGTGTGGAAGTGTACTCGGATACATGATATACATGACATTTTGTATTTGGTGATATGTGTAGATTAAATTATACAATATTATACTTATACATGCTTGATCCTTGTGTTCAGTGTTTTCCCACCGAATGCTTTGTTGTTGTACATCCCCCTGCTGACTCGTCTCAGAAAAGGACCACACCGGATTTACTGGCTATTTCGCAATGTCTTGCCACACATGGAGGAATAGAACGGAATATGTATATACAAATATACAATCTACAACTGGACATTTCAGTACGTTCTTTGTCAATCAAAGACCAGCCATGTTCCCACAACTTTGTTAATACGTCCCTAGCTTTTGAAACCTTTTCCAAAATGTGGCACTGAAGTGAGGGACATGCCCTGCCACCTTGAAAGATCTCCAGGCGGAGGAGTTCAAGCCACATGGCCCATTCAAAACAAGCCCAAGAGGCAGAGGTCCATGAGCCCTGGCAGGCCTGGCTTCAACTAAGGTTGGTAAATGTTGGTAAGATCTGGTAAGACTCATCCGCCCAAGACTTGCTTTATCTTGCTTTATCTTGCTCGGAACTCTCATGAAGTCTCAGAATTTGATCAGAATTTCCCAGAATCCTGGGTGAAAACTGGAGAACCCAGCAAAACACTTGGGGACGTCGGAACATCCTGGATTTGACACAAGCGACAACCGTAGCGACGAGACACCGGTCTCGGTTTCGGTTTCTACTCGGATGTGTATCCCGTCAAGTAAGCGGCTAATGGCTGTTACATCAATCCGTATAGAAGTGGGGATATTCCATGGATATACTGATTATTGTATTATATATATATGTGCCAGGTCATAATATGGCTATGATCCACTTTCCTCAACTGGGATGTAGCCCCAAGTGGTGACCAAGGGTGACTGGTCAAAGCAACGAGCCTTTGCAGTGTGACTCTGCTAGACGTTGCTAGGGCTTGGGAATTCCCAAGCCCATGCCATCCATGTCTTAATGTTGTGTCTACTTGTAAAAAAGAAAACCCAGATCTTTGGATCCCAGCATTTTGCATCAATTCTGGGGACATCAGTCTTGGCGGGAATTATCTCATGATATTCCCAAGATGTAACACTATGTACCAATGATACTTACAAGGTGGTACCCCCCAGTGATGCTTGTTGGGTTATAGCCCCACGGACTTTAGATATACCCTCTGGTAAACTAACATAACTATGGAAAATCACCATTTTAAATGGGTAAATCCACTATAAATGGCCATTCTCAATAGCTTTTTGTTTGTTTACCAGAGGGTATCTACCATAAACCATCGACTTCACCGACTGTGAACTCAAGCAACTAAGGAGGGCCCCGTGGAAACAGCCTACCTTGCAGTCGAAGAGTGTCGGGAGTACCCAGTGATTGACCTGATGGGCCATGGGAGTTGGGCACAGTAACTGGGTTTAGAAGCGGGTCTTTCTTCATGGCTTATACCCTCTGGAAAATGTTTACATAGCGAACTGTTTTGTTTTTTCATACGTAAATCAACTATTTCTATGGTCCATGTTCAATAGCAAACTGTTAAATTACCAGAGGGTAACTGTTATAACCGCCAGTCACCTAATCCCAGGGCCCATCTAAGCATGATTGCGGGACAAAGTTGACACAGAGCTGGTGGATGAGTTAATAGCCATTCTGATGGAGGAATCATTTGAGGAAAGGGTTTCTGTGGGATAATCTGATATCCTACATCTGATATCTATCATCTAATTATGTAATCTTCAATCGTTGTTTCTGAGATTAGCCATGATTAAAGAAACACAAATTCATCAAAATCAAGCCTCCCGGAAGGAGACCCATCGATAGGCCTGGGGTCCAATCCAGATCGAAACGGAACAAAAAAAAGCGTTTGGATCAAGAATTGCTTCATTCCCGAATATGCTCCAGGTATAGATTATTTTCCAACTTTAACATCAAATGTGACCCAATCATGTAAATAGATGTAAATAGTAGCATGATGCAACATTGAACATCTCGGTGTGGTTATGTATAGTTTAGCCCCACACGGAGCAATATAGAGTTGATAATCTCCATGTAAAATCCTAGTGCTCCTGCTCTTGCTGGGTGTATCTAGGATGCACCTTGGTTTGTGGCTCCCAACCCATATGAATACGTGCACGGATCATCTGGGCTGAATTTTGAGAGAGGTTGATTACCCCAGCAACTAGTCGTGCTCTCAGGGGCACAGCCTCACTTATGAGTGAGGTGGCTTTGCCAGAGTTCGAGTTTTGCATCCCGATTGTAAACCAGCACCACAAACCACAAACCATATCGGATATCGAGATGTCGTTCCGGAGAACGATGATGACCATAAGACGCATCCCTCATGCGTCAGACCCGGGTTCAATACCCGGGTGCAAACACTAGGCAGACAGGCAGGCCACTACCCCACCCCTGCAGTTAAGGGGATGAGCTAGGGTGTGGTTCGTAAAACTCTCACTGACCATGCTGAATTATGTCTGATTCTCTCTTGTCCCCTCCTTCTTGGGATTGCACCGGCGCTGAAATTCCGAGGCCATTTTCCGCGCAGCAGCGTGCCACGACGTGGAACTCAAGGCGGGAGGAGGTGGAGGTGGAGATGTCTTGCCCAAAAAACTAATAATCACTAGTAATCACTACTAATCACTTATAATATCTTATATATATTCATAAAGAACTAATAATCATTGGTATTATAATCACCTATCAGGACTTATCATATATAACACTTATCATATATAATCATTGGTGATAACACTAATAATCACTTATAGTGAGATTAAGTTTGCTGATTAGGGATCAGCAAGGTGATTATTCGTGATTTGCCTTCTGGTACTGTAATTGAACAGTTTGCTGTGGAGAATCATCATTGTTTGGTAGGTAAATCACCGTGAATCATCTGTAAATGTGCCATGTTCTATGGCTGTGTCAAATAACCAGAGGATACATGATTAGTGATTATAATATAATATATATTTATTGATGGTGATTTTCATGGCGATTTTTCATGGTGATTATGAATGATGATTAATGGTGATTATATGATTTCGGATTATAGATGGTGATTAAGTTTCAGTATTTCCATTCCAACAACCCCTATAGAATCAGGACACAAGTGTGCTGCGATATCGTCTGAATGTGTCCTGTCGGGTTGAAAACCTAAGTGGCAGGGGGATGTTTACGTTGTGTTATATAAACGATAATTAGTGATTATTGAGTGTTATTAATAATTAATCTACTACATCTACTATTCATGGATGATGGTGGATCCTAGGGTTGAAATGGGTTGAATCCATGGCGATTAACGATCATCAATCCCATCCCCCGGTCATTCAACATGCCCATGGTATCCCAATCTGAGTGCATCCCCTACATCCAGTTTCTGAGGATGTTTCATGTTGGGAAGTGACGCGGAGAAGCCATGATTTTTGCGGGCCTAAAAAGGTGGTACCCGGCCTGGTAAACATACAAAAAACTATGGAAAATCACCATGTTCAATGGGTAAATCCACTATAAATGGCCATTTTCAATAGCTATGTTAAATTACCAGAGGGTAAGATCCTCAAAGCCATCCAATTGGGGCAACAACTCCAGCCTCCGATCGTCTGGAGCCGAAACATCTGACCCCATCATTGGACATGGATCCAATAGATTCTACTAGGGATTCTAGGCAAATATGTGATGTCAGTTGTTTCGGATCACCCCACTTCGTATATATGGAGGTTTCCTAAAATGGAGGTACCTCCAAATCATACCATCTATAGTCTATAGATTGGGATTTTCCACTAAAAACCATGCAGCTATTGGGGTAGCCCCATTTTGGGAAAGCCCCATGTAGTCCCTGGGAAGGAAGTGGGTGTCATTTACCCAGTTGTAAATGGGATAACCCAGGAAGCAGGGACTACACCGACGCAAATTATGTATCCCAAATGCTCCATGGTGCTGAACTACATGTACCCCAAGAATGACCCAAATGTAGGCAAGTATACAACATATCGGCCATATGGGTATTATATATATATTTATATTATGATATACATTGATATCCAGTATATCTATAGACGTAATTAGATATGGGATAATATAGGATCATAACCCAATTTATGGAAAATAACCATGATATTGATATGTGTATATACGGTAACGCCATTTGAATATGTGGAGGGCGGGCCAGACCGCGAGGCCCCGGAGGTAGTATGAAATACAAGTTCGTATATTTAAATGTAGTTGCAGTATGTTTAAATGAATTAGATTCCGTATGTTTAAATGGCTGGGCGGGCCAAGGAAAACTTTCCTGGAGGTAGTCTAAAATACCTGTTCGTATATTTAAAAATCCGTATATTTAAATGTAGTTACCGTATATATATATATATATATATATGTGGGTGTGTTCCATGTCATTTTAACAATGTGTTTCTCTGGATTTTCATCAACGGCCCCAACGGCTTCAACGCCCAGTCCGTGGAGAAGTGGTGCTCCATGGACGGTTGCAAGGTGCTTCTGCAGGGATGTGAGATGGGACACCCCTACTCAGATGGGCCATGGGGTTTGCACACTGGTTAGTAACTGGATTTGTAACTGGATATAAAATGATTGAATGGGTTATAGCCCAGTTATAATGGTATAATGGATATAAAATGGTTGAATGGGTTATAGCCCAGCTATGAACCACTTGACCTGTTTCCATGGCCCATCTAAGTACCGAAAATTGCCCTGAAATACCAGTTCTAAGTCAGTGATTTGTACTCGAATACTCCAAGCATAAAAATAACTGGTCTTTCGGGCTTTAACTTTAAGGCGTAAGGTGACCCAAAAACTGATAATTTAACCTATCCTCGGAAAATAATCATGAATCATCGTCTTCAAAAGGTAAAAAATATCAAATCATCGAGCTTCTATACCATATAGCCGATATAGCTATGTTAAACGACTGCTGTTTTTTTTCTAACTTAACACCAGAGAAATCCGGACAAACGGCCAGGTCCTGGCAGATAGCAGTCAGAGCTGCTCCGTCTTCTGCAAGGATCAGCAGCTGCATTGTCAGAGGCCGGTTTTCAATTTCCCGTTGAATGGGAATATAACTATATATAGTGGGAATATATGGGAATATAACATAATATAACTACTGTATATGTCACTATAGTTATTGGGGTTTCTTTTTCGGATGTAACATGAGAGAAACAACAAAAACAATCCATTAGGGAATCACCATGGGTACCATGGTAGTTTCAATTTGCTTCGTCTTGGTCATGGCGACTGGATGATGACAAATGGGTACCCCCACTTTTTCGGAAAGCTACGTACGTTACATATGATGGGAAAGAATGACATGTTGAATACAACATGACTAACTCTCAAGCCCATCATGTGTTTTAATATGATTACTTATTATTCCATATATTAGAATATATTCCCATGATATCCCCATTTGTGACATCCAATATATTCAATGTTCACCTCTGCAGGGCATGGGTCCAAAGTCCAGAGGAGGAGGACTGGGCCCGCAGAAAAAGTTCACGGAATAAGGACATGTAGCACATACATACCCATATAGCCTATATATATATACATATAACTCGATATACATCTATTATATGTATATGCATATTTTTATACATAACTAACGTATATAAGGTGAATGGAAGAAATCTGCACCATCTTGGATGGTTGAAACACATAGATAATGGGATAAACCACCCATCAACTGGTGCAGGATTTCTTCCATCTACTGTAAGTAGGACAAGTACGATTTACGACTCTATCCCTAGGTATCAGGGTTTATCAACCAACTTGGCACTCTGGGGCGCCCTGATATGTCATGAAAAAGTTAATCTGGCATGACGTAAAACGTGGTATGACAAGGTTCAGGCAGGTGTAATATACCTGTCATGGGTTGCGTGCAATACCGAAGCAGTGGCACCCCTTCCAGACTATATTGGTTGTTTGATGTTGTTTGTGGGTATAGTAAATACATGTAAATACTCTGAGGTAGCCAAATTCCACTTTGGGCATGGCGGCATGCTCAAAATACCCACCGGAATGAAGGACATCCTACAACATGCTGACGGCGACTATGGGTCGTAAACCACTTAGCAATGCCTATTTGATAAAACCCTACTGTTCGAAGAGTGTCAGCTGTGGCATGTCATGATGTCATCGTGCGATGCCAGAGTACTCACAGTCATCTTATTCCGAAGTGCTTCGCCCAGAAAAAAACATTGTCTGTGCCTTTATGCCTGGCTAATGTCAGCATCATAATTGGTACAGCAAGCCATTACCCTGAGCCCAGAAAATATCAACGAGAGGCAAAAAATCTGGAACTCCAACCCATTTCAATGCAAGTTCACCCACTGCCCACTATATTATATCTCAAAATATGGATAAACCTTCCTATCGTCTAAGCCAGTCAATTCCATCCCGAAGTTAGAACAAATGGTGGTTTTCGCAATCCCTTGGGCCCAAGTCACTGTTGTGGCCTACAGTGATATGCCCCTAAAGAAATGCCAATCTAAGATGTCTTGATAGTCGCTCAATAATCCTTGGAGCCTTTCCCAGGACTGTACGGAAGGGCCTACTGTGGCATGTGAAGTGCCAGCCACGAATTCCAGTAGCTTGTTGGGACTCGCGGCGACATGTGATGTCTGGCAGGTTGGGCTAGATGTGTTTGCCATGTATCCCACTAAAGTATACTACGGTTGCAGTCTATATATAAACTCTAGGCGGCTCAACTAACCCCAATATCTCGTAAATTCAATAGTTCCATCGCCGCAATGACAACCCCCCCTTTTATGTAGTGATGCGACTCCAAGATGAGCAGATACGCCACTAAACCGGCGATGATCCCAATAGAGGGAGACCACTCCAATGACTTATTTTTGTCACTTGGGAAATGGAAATTGCGCAGAACCAGGCTACAGAATGTCTACCTGTTTCTATTTCACTTTTGCTTAATGCTGTTGGGAATGGGAACTCTTACTTACACCTTCCCCACTGCCACTGCTAGCTAGATCCCGCTAGTGTGTTGGCATGCTGTAGTAGCTACATTGAAGCCAGAAATAAATGGCAGTTTCCCTAACAAGTGGGATGTTCACTGAATGAAACATTTTTTTTAATATATTTCAGTCCTTCCAGGTAGTTCATTGACTCGCTGCCACAGAAGATGGGTCAACGGGCCGAGTCAACCGGAACAAACGTGATCAAATTACCTTCTGGCTATTTAACATAGCCATGGAAAAATGGCCCATTTATAGAGTTTTACCTATTAAAAATTGTGATTTTCCATGGCTATGTTAAATAACCAGATGGTATATATTGACCCTCATCATCATGCAACAAAGCTCGGACGTCGGTCTGATGAGGTTTGATCTGTGAATGTGGCGTTGCAACCTTCGTCCCGTGAGCTGGGCCTTTTATGTCGGGTTAATTTAGACGAATTTTCCACCCCGTCGCTGAGACGTTCAAGTGTCGGGCTGACCATGCTGTAGTTGAACTGCGGTCCCAAAGTTTTGGTTCAGAAGCATGCCAAACGTTGATTGGCTGAAAGATGCTGAAAGTCATGCGAAGCGGCATTTTTTGGACACTTGGACGGCCAGCGGCCACGCCGGAAGGGCGAATTTGACAGGCGACTGTACCAACGGCAGTTCCTTCGAATCGAGGAAGCTGGCGGTGTTGGATCACCGTGGCGTGTCATCCGGAAGGATGATTTGAGCGCTCCCGAATTCGGACAGGGAAAGATGTACAAGGCGGGCCCCCCCGGTTTGTAGCTAAGTAACGGTTAATAACTTGGTCAACTGTGGTTAATGGCAGATATATCTATAGGTAATGGGATTTAGAAACCAATTGAGAACTGGGGGGCCCAGGGGGCCCCCAAATTGTAGCTTATGAACAATTCTGAGAGTTATGACAGGTCAACCATGGGTGAAGGGATGCATGTGAAACCACAAAATTTCATGGAGGGGTGTGTGATGTTTCGCTAAAAGGACATGTTATATTGGATGATATTATTGGATGGATATATTGAATTGTTCGAAGGGTCGCAAAGATTACTGTAGATGATGTACAAATGTAGCGAGTGGTCAACAAATTCGATCAATAGCTGCACTTGAAAAGTGTATCCTTGTTCAGAAGTCAGAAGATGTTTGGTTTCACTGAAGTTACAACAAATTATCAGATGGGTACGGCAAGTCAGAATTACCAATGGAGGGACCCACTAAACTGATCAAACTTGGGCATGACATTAGTACTTACAAGCCCCGCATATATAAAGTACCCTAAGAATCACCAATTTCAGGGGAAAGTAGTCTTCCAAACTCTCATTTGGATTAGTTGGCAATGTCTATCTTGCTTGGGACGGTAACCATCCAAAAAACGGAAAGGACTGTTGTGAGCGGCAGAATCCACAAGTTTTGGGGAAGAATAGTTTCATCAGAATAGTTTCCTACTACTTGCCCTCAGAAGAGTCGTTTCTGACACATGTCATGGCACCACGGAATTACACTACATCAGTCATCTGCCTACATCTGCCCTACATCTGTCTAATTACACACATTTGTTTCCAACATCTGCCTTCACTTCTCTGCATTGACTGCACAGATTAATCCAGATTAAACATGATTAATCTAGAACCAAAGAAACAATGTTTCCACAACTACTCTGACCTCTAGACTAGTTGCTTGTGTTTTCTTTTGTTTTTTTGTTTTTTGGTTCTAGATTAATCATGATGAATTAATCCTGATTAATCACTTAAAGCGCCTTAACTGTAGAATACCCTGAATTTGCATTGAATTGCGAAGTTTTCGCTGTGCCGCACAGCACAAATGTTCTGCGCTAAGATGCACAGACGAAACGGCGCTTTTCGGCGCAGTGCAATTTTTTTTTCTTCAGGCATACAAGGCATTCCAGTTGTCGCTGAATCGCAGGAGTTGGGGCACTGCGGGGTGTCCCACGTGTCATTGACCTTTCTATTCGTTCCAAAAAGACGGTCCAGTGAGTCTGGTGGACATGGATTCCCACTGCCAAGTTCACAAAATATGGATGTCTTCAGCTCTCACTGGGTAGCAGGATACCCTGCATTTTCCCCATTTTTTCTCATTTTTGCGGTTTTTGTTTGGAGGGGGTTGGGGCTGCAATCCAGTGACACATGGAATCTTTGTTCATCGCAGGCCCAGATCAACAGTTCCCGGTGACTCCGAGGATGACATTGTTCACATTAACATAGACCTTGCTTGGGGGTTCGAAGACTACTTTCCTCGAAACAGGGCTGATGCTTAGGGTCTGTCTTGATTTGGGGGCTGGTAGTGTTTCTCTAACAGAAGTTTCGCTATGATATATAAATGGCCAGTGACCAGATTGGCCAGAAAGCAATGCCAACTCATTCCCAAAGTGCCCGTCTTCGTAAGCCCATGTTTTCCGGGCTCTACATGACAAAGAAACACCCATGGAACCCACAGTTTATCACATTCGTTGTGCATAGTAAACTGATGTAAATTGTCCCTGTTGCACCACTAGATTGATGATGTTTGATTCTTCCTTTTGCAGAAGGGGACAGCAAGATGAGAGACTCGGCTTCAACTTTTGCCCACTGACCTGGGTCCATCAACCATCAACGTATACCATCACTCGACGAGGCTTCCAAAATAACAATGTCCTGGATTCCTGGATGTCTGAAAATTGGGTAGTCCAAAATTTGATGGTGTATCATGGTTTATCAATGTTGATCATTATTTTCTCTAGTTGTTCAGTTTTTTTTGGGTGTCTGCGATTTTTGGACCAATCCAGACGTTTGCTGCATCGTTCGAAGTCACCGGACGACAGGCCCCATGACAACTGATCATCAAGGCATGTGCTGCAACAATTGATCTGGGATGTGCCTGCTTCAAAGTAGTGCCCCATAGTAGGTTGAGAGTTGGTTTATAATTGTCTGGTTGGTGGTTTGGAACATGTTTTATTTTCCATTTCATATATGGGATGTCATCCGTCCCATTGACGAACTCAGATTTTTCCAGATGCGTAGTCAACCACCAACCAGTTATAATATAACTTGTTCTACCTATATAGTTTGACAAAGGTGTAACCTCCTGAATGTGCTTACTTTAATGTGCTAAATCCATCCCCAAATTGCTG